TCAACTCTAACTGGAAGGTTGACTGCAGTTCTGGTTTAAACCACCAGATTTTAAATAATTCACCCATCCATCCTTCTGCTGTAGTGTGTTTGTGTTTGTAGCTACATGTATACATGAGCATGTGTGTACACACACACACACACAGTCGGGTAAACATATCTTTATGAGGACCACTCATTCTTTTCTATGAGAAAAATGCTAATGCTAACTATGACAACCTTAACCCCTACCCAGCCTTAACCATAACCATGAGTAACCAAGCAAAATACAAGAGGTTTTGCAGTTTTAGTTTTTTCATTGCAGTCACATGGGGAACTTTTCTTTACACTGCCCCCAACTTGCTCTCTGTAGGTGAGAGCAAGCTGGCTGCAAAGGGACGCCACCCAAGCAGCACCCAGGGAGCTCGGGGTTAAGGGCCTTGCTTTAGGGCCCACAGACATGCCAAAGATAGACGTGAACCAGCAACCTTCTGATCATAGGCACAGAGGCTTAGCCCACTGAGCCACATGCTGTAGAGATGAAGAAAGCCACACCCATTACATACTGTTTGCAATTACCGGTTTATTGGTGGGTCAAAACAGATATGTCTGACACAATGCCTTTAGATGCATGCATGAGCCTTAGAACTGCAACTGATAGAATGTCTATTATAGATGATACTAACGATCTCTCAATAAAGGCAGACTGAGGAGACATTTTAATTGTTCACTATCTATTATTGTCAAATCAACAGTGTGGTGCACACAAACCAATTCATTTTTATTATTAACAATTTGTAAGTAATAATAGAAGGTGTTAAGAACTTCTTAAACTTCTCTTCTGTTTATCGTGGATGGTACTGAAGCAGAAGCAGAACTTGGGTCACAGGGCTGCAGGTCCTCAGACAGTTCATGGCTTAAATCTAGAAACTTGCTTGAGATCTGGCTCACACAGTGTCTGTATGTACTTCAACATTCAATGTCGATATCAAAGACCCACTTCAATGACAATGAAAAGCTAGACAGACAGTGCAAAAAACAATACAGGTGGTGCAAAACTATACAGACAATGCAAAACAATAGAAGACCGAGCAAAATAATACAGGTTGTGCAAAATAATACTGACAATATTTAATGTTTGGGAAAAATATAATTGATTAATTATTAATATACAGTAAACACTCCTAACTTAACGTCCGAGTTCCATTCCTATGACTAGCTTGTTAAGCAAATTGGTCGATAAGCGAGGATTTTGATGCTGTTCCCCACAAACAGCTCCTGCTTAAGCTCAGAGCAGCAGGGATTTTATGAACTGTAGCAGCTTGCATTGAAAACTGGTTAACAGTTTGTTCAACCAAATAGTTACTTCAATATTCAATACAGGAACTCGTGGCCATAGGTGGAAATTAGCGGGAGAACATTTCTAAACTGGATTTGAGAAAGCACTTCATTACATAGCGTGTAGTTACAGTATGGAATAGTCCTCCTGTTAGTTTGGTGCAAGCTAAAACCTTGGGTTCCTTTAAATCAGAGCTAGACAAGATTTTAACAGCTTTGAGCGATTGAGTTCTCCACTAACGAGCTAGATGGGCCGAATGGCCTCCTCTCGTTTGTAAATTTCTTATGAGATGCCTCTTACCGATATTTCAAGCATACTACAGTATACTGATAGTGGGTTTGTCAACCGATTGTTTTATTCTCACCTTTGCACCATTTATATCATTTTGTATATTTATAAATGATTATAAAGTACTGTATTCTGTAATAAACAGAATAGAGGAAATTAGCTCAAATATACATTAATTAGGTTTGCATACTGTAAATACAGGTAATAGTTTTTATTTATTCTGAATAAAGAAAAGGTCTAAGGGGAACTTATTTTTAGAAAACATATGTAGTCTTGATGATTGTGAATGCTAGTATAGTGAATACTGAGCGACTGTGGGAATGAGACTGAGACTGAGAAAGGGTGATGTGAAATGAGATGCTTGCCACTGCCATTTTCACGACCAAAGTTCCCATACAGCATACAATACCGACTGGTCGGAGAGCTGCTCATAAGTCAGCACGGTCATTAAACAGCTACAACATTAAGTAAGGAGTCTCTGTATATCCTCCTGAGACCCGACCTATTCATTTATGTCCATTGTAGTGGACATTGTATTATTGCATTTATTTTTTCACTGATGTTAGGAAACGTATTTATTCCTGTTGTGCACTAAAGAGGACATGCTGTGAAATAAAAAAAATCTAAATTGTAAAAAAAATCTAAATTGTAAGATGTCTTATTTCCTCCAAAGACACATAACCTACAATTGAAGGACACTTTTTTCCTTGGGTCTCAGGAGGATATAAAAGTCTATAGTACCTTTTCAAGACAATGCAACCCAAAACCTGCCCCCCTTCGTGATGTTTGACTGTAGGCACTGCCATATTCCAGTTAGGTAGACATTGCCCAACCCAATACAAGACTGTGCAAAAGAATACAGATGGTGCAAAAAAAAATACAAGACAAATAGTGCAAAACAAAACGGTACAAAACAAAACAGATGGCACAAAACAAAACAGCTGGTACAAAGCAATAAAAGGCAGTGCAGAACCAGGCAGTATGCAGATAGTGAGTGATACTTCCATACAGTCATGGAATAGCTGAAGGAAGTAGGTTTGATAAACGAAAACATCAACATCATTATCAATGGAGCCTGTTATCCACCAGTTATGGGCCTTCAGCCCCCCAGCAAAGCTACCCAGTGTCACTTTGCTCTGTTTATTTTGCCTATTTAAACTGCTCTTCACAATACTTTGGAGAGACTTTCTGCAGATGCCCCAGAGCCTTTTCTAATGTTATGTTAAACGATAGGTGCTTTTTGCTAACTTAAGAAGCAAATGAGATGTGTCTATCAACTGTACTGTTCCTTACTGTTATTATTCTTATGGGTGAGAGTGACACAGAATGACAAAACAGAACAGCTTTTTCAAATTCCTTCATTTATGATTGTAAAAACGATTCCCCTCAATTGTACTGCAGGGACTTAGTGTTGAATTGAGAGAACCCATAGTTACACAACTTGCTCTGTCAACAGTCTACCAGACTAACTTGAGGGTTATGGGGGTGTTCCATGGAGTAGGATTTCTCAGTTAGCTGGGTTTAACTTAGCAAGAAGTCATGATTGTCCAATAGAAATGCTCCATACCTACCCTCTTATTGGACAATCATGAGTACTAGCTAAGTTAAACCCAGCTGACCGAGAAATCTTGCTTCATGGAAGCTGCCAGGCCTCATAGCCGACCTACAAGACACACATTGCTTCACTTTTAGCTAGTTTCTCCATCCTCACTGAGGCAAATGGTGGAACTGTAATGCCACTTATATAATGTTGCAGTTTGTTGCTTGTGCTTTCCTCAGTGTGAGCAACAATGAATCTACAATTCCGCTTTCCGATCTCGTAGCCCGTTTCCCCGTCTTTGATTAGGGCAGTAACAGGACTGTGAGATTTTGTTCCAACCAACCAGCTGAATACTCTGTGACTGCGACTCTTTATAGTCAACTGGTTGGTTGGAACAAAACGTTGGTCTGGATTTTTACTGTCTGAACCTAAACTTTACTAAACATTTTGTTTGCTCCATCTTTAATGAGGCAGTGATGAAATAGTTACATTTCCGGCTAATCATTTTGTTTGGTCCCTCATCTTTGGCAAGGGCAGTAACAGGACCGTAGTATTTCTGGATAATCATTTTGTTTGTTCCATCACTACTGGTGAGGACAGTAATAGGGCTGTAACATCCCAAGCTACTCATTTTGTTTGCTCCCCAGTCTTCACTGAGGGATAACAATGGGGCTGTGTAATCGCCCTGTAATCACCGCTTCTTTAATCGGAGTTAACAGTGAAAGCCGTGGCACAGAGGGCCCCAGGGACAATGCTGACGTTTACAGACAATTAGCCGCGGGGTGGTAACGCGTGTAGGGATTACACCACACATCAATACTCTCCTTCTCACTCTCTCCCCCCCGGCCACTTTGCCTTCAGCAAATGTGATCCACACACCCTCTTTATGCAATAACACTACACTGGCAGGATGGTTAAGCGCCATGAAAAAAAAAATGCTAAACCATAATCCATTTATCGAAGTTTCAAATGAGGATTTGGGAGGGGAGTTCGCACACAATCCGCAATATAAAACAGGATAAACAGCTGTGCAACTGTCTAAATGTCTTTTTTACTGTGTAAATGTTGTACAGAAAACCTACATTTCCATCCATCCATCCAAACAAGAAGCAGAGAATGAGTCTTGGGATGAACCCGCTACCATGGAAGGGAAAGCGCGATATGTCTGTTAGAATATATACATATATATTGAAGTACTCACAGACAACACCCACCAGAAACTGCTTCATATGAAGTAAACAGTAAATTTATCAGCATTGAAGTGTCACATGCCACAAATCGTGTAGTTTCTCAGGATACAGGCAGCATCGATGGTGAGTGCGACGAAAGTGCTCGCAGGAAAGCCGACCGTTGCAACCAATCAACACCTTCAAGTGCCGAGTCCTGTGGGATTCAGGTATACTGTAACATGAACAATCTCTGTGCCGAGGATCACTTTGCAGGACTGGGTTAATTTCACTGCCTGAGAAGTTTTTGGTGACTGTGAAAGTGGGGCTGAAATTCTGGGGTGATGAATTGAATTGAATGGCGTAAAACGAGCACATGCACTTTTCCCAACCTTAAAAACATACTTTTTTCGCTAAAAACACCTTGGGCCCTATTTCACACCTGCCGGAAAGAGGTGCCAGGCGCAACGCAAGTGTCTATGGTAGCATGAGCCCAATGCGGCTGTCATTCTCCCATCCAGTGCCCACGTCGTTGAATTAAATAGCAAATCTGAGCCCGTCTGAGTGCCCTTGGGTGCGTCGGTCTTAAAATGAGGTGGAGTCAGATGCGTTGTTGCCACGTTATTAACTTGAGGCAGATGAAAGCGATTGTGCTTTTGACCAACAAAAACCTGCTCTAACATCAGTGGTAGTATTTCAATTTTATTTACAAGACCCATTATCAAGATAGTAACATGCACATAAATCAGCGTGTATTCTGCTTGTTACACAGAGACACGCAACAGGGTACATGTAAAAGTTTGCAAACAAAAACATTTTAAGAAATTTGTTTCGTAATGACTAGTATCAGGATCTTTAGCCAGCAGAGCTGAGTGACATTTACTGTACGTTTCATTTATTGCAGGATTAACGTATAACTGTTTAATATTTCGCAAAATATTTCGTTCCGCTCCCTTCCGCATCTTATAAGTCTTGTCCCTTTCACACCTGCAAAGGAAAAATACGTCATGTTTGACTATGCTTATTTTCAGGTAAAAAATAAAGACAAACCTCAACAAACAGGCTTCAACATTTAACAGTTAAAGCATGTTTTTCACATGATAGTAGGCTAGACAAGAGCATAGATTTGGGTATCGATAGTAGGGACATGTCCATACAGATAATATGGGGGTATCGTGTGTATTTAAGGTGATGGGGGTTCGGGGCTTTTTTATTCCCTACCAGTGTTGAAAGAAAACATATCCCCTTGATAGTTATACATATAGGCATATTTTGCCTGTATCAACGTTTGCAATAACAGGTTGTAGATCTGCACAAACAAAATCCATGCATTTTTCTGGTGTTTCAGTTTTTAGTGCAGTTGTCACTTTTGATTTGCTTGCTCTTGCAGTGAATGTCAGTGTAGTCTGGCCCTTACGAAACTGTACACAGGTGGCCCTGAAGTGCCAGTGTATGATAGCACTTTGTTGCATGTGTCACAATGGGCAAAAGGTAGGTGGCTCCCATCGTGGTTGCTTACAATGACAAGAACTGCCAGATATCTGATTTCTCCGTAGTTTGACATTAGGTAGTTACATGGTTTTATGTTCACCTTTCCTTAAGCAGGCAATTACATCCCCGGGCTTTAAAATTTTTGTGCTGGCTCTACCATCATTCGCCAGGCGCTCAAAAAACTGAAGAGGGGCTTTCAAAATGCCAATGTCCTTCTGAGAGTTCCAGGATAGGCTGGCGGCGTAAAAATTTAATTAGGCATAGTAGCCTATGTTTCTTTTATTTGGTGAAAATGTTAATGTAACTTTCGATTCACAAACAAACAAAAATAATATACAGGTCAGTCTTGCTACAATGTGTCTAATACAAGCTGGAAAAACCTCGCATTCACCGAAATTGCATACTAAAATACACATATCCAATAGGGAAAACAGGGTTGAGGGAATGTGACTTCAAAACTTAGTAACTTACGCCAAACAAAATGAATTACATAACAAGAAACAGCGATACCAGTGGCTTATAATGTAATTACAGTACATGCATTTTAAATCATAAATACTAATAATGCATTAATAAACTATATCATAACTATCTCCTACGGGTATTATAGGTCTCACAAGAATTGCCTACTTACTGCTTCAACTGAACATCCCGAACTTGCTAACTTGTAAATTGCCGAAAGTCAGGAGCAGTGAGCCACAGCTGCCATGTGACTGAACATGCACACAGCACTAATACAACGGATTACGGTAAGCGGAGCGGCACTGAAGGCAACATGGCTGCAGACAGTCTATGAAAACCAAACGTAAGAGAATTAAATAAGGTCGCTGTGTGTTTCTATTCGATAATTTGTCAAATATTTTTAGATTTTTAGAATGTAAGACCGGTACAATGCGCGGATGTACAAACGTTTGATTCCTTTAGATTTGAAAAACAATTTGACTGATTCACTGAAAGTTTGTTTACAAATCAGACATCACTATCGTTCACTGTTTTTGCGTCCAAGTAGCAATTCCATATCATGCTAAAGTTCACGTGGTGCTTTTCTCTTCAACTGAAAATACAAATGCAATTCCGCACTATATTGGACTCGAGTCCCAATATATCAATCACGTTAGAACAGATTTGCGCTGTGATATCATGCGTTGTCGTAGGACTGTCTGTAGTTTGGTAAAATAAAACAAAAAACATATTTGAGCGATACTTTATTCTCTTATATAGTTGATAGAAATTCTCTTATATACTTAAAGCTCCCTCAAACATATCAGTCATTATCCTCTGTTCTTTGTTCTTAAGTGTTATAGCTGGTCTTTGGCAATTGCTTTTATTTTGAAGGCGACTGCTTTTTTTCAATTGATATACATTTCTGCATATACAGTATGCGTGTATGTGTGCATGCGAGCGATGGAATGCGCACCTTGTTTTTAGACTGTTATTGTTGACAAGCAGCCATTTAGATTAGTTACAGTAGCTGTTAGCCCTCGAAAATGTCAGCTCACATAAAAAAAATAAAGACTCATACAGAATTTAGAGTTTTTAGTAAGACATGTACTTCTAAGTATTTATTTACTGAAGTCAAAGGTAATGCTGTTTGCTTACAGTAGTTTGTGGAGTAGAGATCACTGTGTTTAAGAATAACAATTTGAATCACCATTAGGAAACTAAACATGCAAGAAATTGGCAAGATTTCCTCACTGAATAAGAAAAAAAGAACTGGAAAGCAATGAGGCAATTAGACTACAAACAAAATAGCAATATTACATTACTTTTTGTATACAGTTAATATTGGTCTTTGAAATACTGCAAAAACATGCACATTTTTCTAGAATGTGTTTGTGAATGTTAAATAGTGATATAATATTGGTGTTTTTATTATTCTTACTCCACGTTTTCATTGCTTAATTGTCACACCTACTCTTACCAGTAGCAGCTGATCAAAACCATACAACTTACTGCGTTTTATAAAGAGATCAAATGAATGTTGAGCAGAATCGAGTTCAGTCTATTGGTCTAGCCCGTTCTTTCCCGTTTTGTTTTACACTGTATTCATTACAGCTGCACTGACACTAGCCTTAAACATTATTACGGTTATCAGTATTATCGTCTTATATTGAAAACCGCTAATTAGCATATCTGTCTTTTTATTTCCGTAAACATTAAAATAATAACATGGCCAATCCCTTATATAAATGCATGAATACCATATCAAATCTCCGGAGTGCTGTCACTGCCTTTCGCCATGTTTTCACTGACAGAAATCAAACCCATGTTTCATTCTGCTCCTGCGCACCTGGGAGCCTGCTAAACAGGACTTTTTCAAAGTGCGATAATAAACTGTGCTTTTAATCATAACATTTCAAATGGAAATCGTTCATGGTAAAATCAAATGTTAGCAAATACGTTGCCATCGGTGCCCCTTTAAAATCACGTGTTGCTAATTAAAACATATTTGATAATATATTTCTTAATGCCGAAACAACACAATGTCTCCTTAGCGTATGTGTACGTCATTTACACCATTTTCTTACCCTCAGATGAGATTTAATGACAGACAGGTTTGCTTACAGTTGAGGTCTGCAGCCAGATAATAGCAATCTGCTCTTGCTATTAAGGCGACTCTTAAAGGGAATGGGAGATGACACTCTCATTGGCTTATAGCACATTACAACCCAAAAACACCCATAACTAATTAAGAGACCTAGTACAACCCTTTTGGACCTTTTTCTGCCATAAAACTAGCAGAAGTGGGTTGGCCACGCTCTAGAACTTGCGCTGTATGCTTCAGAATGTGCTTCAGAATGTGCGTTTTAGATTGTTTAAATAGCACCCCATATGTTATGTTATTTTTATTCTTCATTATAGCTAGGATGCATTCTAATACTGTGGGTGTACTAATTTGTCAACATGTTCGTAATGTAACAGTTTTTGGGTTGTCACACATGTGCAAAGTGTTGATTTCCGCATGTGGTGTGTTATTTCAGCTAATAATGATGCTAATTGACAAACAAAAGTCATTAGTGGGTCAAACTTTTCTCCATCAAAGTGCACAGCTTGAAAGAAATCCGTAAAAGTCCAGCTATTTGCCACTCCTTTGATTTCAGGCTCGATTCTGGCCTTCCAGAAGGTGGCAGGTACCTTCACAGATATTGATGTCCTTTAAAGGAGATCAATTGAGGAATGTGGGCTTGGAAGTCTCAGCCGATGTAAAAGCTGGATTTCTCCACCACTGAGGTGATCTCAGCCCACGGCAGGTCTCATTTATTTGATTTATTGGCTAAAATTCAGACCAAAGGAGAAAAAAACAAACAAACAAACAAAAAAACAGAAGCAATCAGAGCGTGTGGAGCTCTGGAGAGAGCAGAATACTGACAGCTTACAGGGTCTGCAAAGGCAAATGGGACAAAGCTTTCATAAAGCCCGCAGCTTCTCAGGCGGCTCCTCAGCATCTCTGCCGGTGAAATCTGATTTCCAGCAAGTCGCACGTCACAGATCGTGCTTCCAGATGTGTGGCGTGCACACGGCAGCTCCTGCCTCATCATCCTTCACAGCTCTTTTCTGCTTACGGAGGCATTCTGGCTTTGCCGTAAGGTTGGTGTAACGTGTAAGTAACGAGAGCAGTCAGCTTGGTGGGGAGTGTGTCCGTGGAACTGTCTTCAAGGAACATGTGGGCTCAGGATGCAGTGTATTTAAAACATCTGTCCATTCATCTGTTCAGCAATTCATCCATCTATCCTTTCCTCCTTGTATGCACGCATCCATCCATATATCTATTCCTTATCAGTCCATCGATCCATCCATCTGCTTATCCAGTGCAGCATAAAACATTTATCAAATAATAAATGTAAGGGAATCAGACAATGACACACTTGTTTTAGCCAATTGTTGCACATATTCTCAGAGAATTGCAAATTTCGGGAAATCTTCTGGAGAATATTGACTGTTTGAGTGCCACCCTCTGTCGCCTCAAAGCAAGAAGGTCCTGGGTTTGATCCTTGGGTCACCCAGGGTGCCTTTCTGTGTGGAGTTGGCATGTTCTGCCCGTGCATGCGTGGGTTTTCTCCAGGTGCTACAGTTTCCTCCCGCAGTCCAAAGACATGCAGATTAGGTCGACTGGCTACTCTAAATTGCCCATACTGTAGGTGTGCATGTGAGTGTGTGTGGCTGTTTGTCTGTGTTGGCCCTGTGGTGGACTGGCACAGGGTGTACCCCGCCTCTCGCCCGATGATGCTGGGATTGGCTCCAGCTTCCCCGCGACCCAGATGGATGAAGTGGTATAGATAATGGATGGATGGATGGATGGAGTGCCACCCTCCCTTCAGTTTCTGTCCAGCTTGTCCGTTCACAGCTGAATCCCTACAAGGCCGAGAGGATGAGCTTGCCTGTTCTAATTACACCTAACCCTCCATGATTCCACTTCAGTGATGCTTTATATGGGACTTCTGTGTTTCCTAGAAAGGAATGTTACAAACATAGCCAGGCACAGAACCCATTCATTAGCGTAAATGCTGCTGCCTCAGTGATGCTCATTACGATACCTACAATTAGCCTGGGTGTCACTGTGTGTCATTAGAGTATGTACAATTGGTGGGTTCTGGGCTCCAAAATTAGAGCAAGTGCTATTCGGTGCCAACTTACAGTAACCATTCACCTGGGCGACGTTATACACAGCGACGGTGTGGCTTAAGCGTGTCAGGACAGGGCCAGCGCACCCTGCTGATCATGAGCCCTGTTTGTGTCTCACCAGTTTACACGATTCACGCGTAATGACTGCGATCCGGAGGTAATTACAGCCCGCGCGGATTGCTAATTGTGGCGTGTCGGCTAATGAACAGGCCTGCATCCCGTGACAAGGTGTCGGGCACGTTTGTGGGGGTGACCTCCGGTGCTTGTCGAGCGGCTAATTTACTAGCCAGCTGAGCGCCTCTCCACCCCCCTGCCCAGCTCCCTGCGTGGAGACACAGGCCGCTGTGTCAAATGTTTGCTCAGGGGCTGTTGGTTTAACCAAATTGGTTATTTTAGTGAGTAATCCAACACGTCAATTCAATCAATTAGGAGAAAAAAAAAGCCTTAAGGTCAAAATTAAAACAGGACTTAATCCTTTTAATTCAGGCTAATTGAAATATCACAGATACAAACACCATGACTCAAATAATGCTGCCTGGAGCTATGATCGGTAATGTAATGGTTTGTCTGGCGCCCAATCGCAGATGTCAAACGTGGGACTATAATTATTCCACAGAATAAACAGATGTCACAATAGCATGGGTATATCTGGGTTTATTTGGTCATCAGTTAATTCGATCAGTTAATCCTGATTTGTAATGCTGTCCCATAGCTAGCGTTGCGCGTGAGCTGAGCAATCTCGTGGTTAATGAACTATGTTGGCAATTTACGCCGTATTTTACTTTCTACTAATCACAGCCCCTTAGACGAGCCTCCAGCTAATGGATCTCCAGCACCAGAGAGGTGTTCAGGCTTACCCCGCCTAGCTACTATTACTGTATTACCCGGATTATCTATGGGAGGTGGAGGATGCAAGAACACAGGCTTCAGCGTAGGTTAATAAACTGAAAATCATTTATTTGAAAGATGACTTTTGTGCGTGATAAGATATTTCACAACAATTCTGGGAGCAAGATTTCCTGTTGCTAGTTTACCTTGTTTCCTCATTCGCCCTCATGCATATTCATTAGCGATGTTATCCGCCATAAGGTTATTATCCATTAATGTCAGCAGATAATTAATTGGTTCTGTCTCCTCAAAGCTTTCTCTGGCTCATTAGCAAAGCACAGCTTGGTGATTTTATTCACATTTGAATCCGAACGTACAACTTTATTTATTTCCAGTCGGCGCCGCGCTACGTAGATGAATCGCCGGAGGGCAAATCGATGCCGAAACTCACCCCCTTTAGCCCTTGAAGATGCCGTCAGACATGCCGGGAGCTTTTCAATCAGGAAGCCGCAATCAGAGTCGGACCGAATGGCACGATTTTCACCGGCGTGACATACCGTATACAGCTACCCTCCACCGTCTCCTACACGCTAGCATGAATCGTGCAACACCGGCACAGTTTGAATTGATTGTACCTGTAGCTGCTTACAGGAGTTATTCCTCATAAGCTTGACAAATACCGGGAATTAAAGTAAAGCTCAACACCTGTCTTTCTAATGCGGCACCCAATGAAGAATCCTGCACACGACAAACTGAAATAGCCAAAAATTGAAAATGCTTTAATAGAAAATGTCATCAAATGACACATTATTACCATGTGTTTCGAATTATGAGAATGGTTTGTCATGTGGCCATTTAAATCATTTGCATAGCGAAACAAGACAGATTCGACGTAACAATTCTTCTTCAGTGTTGTGTCTCCCAGTTTATCCCCCTATTAGTCAAACTGTAAAAACATTCCTTCATACACTGAGGGGACGCATGTCACGTAAAAATCAAGATGCGATTGTCCAATTAAGGTGTTGTTTTAATTAGCATCTGAGGGTGTTTTATACACGGGAAGTCAATGGCATGTCGGAGGCTAATACGATCCAATGAGTTTACTCAGAAAGGACTTTCACTTCACCGAAGCATGTTTAGTGAGTCTTGGACATTTATTCCTTTTAAAATGCTTGATTTTTTACAATATAAAGAAGGCATTGCGGTCAGGATTTGGTTGCTCCAGATTTGTGGCCCCGTACCAGGTAATCTCAAAGCTGTGAAGACCCCAATAAGGTGTGCTCTCATAGCAGTGACCTTGTTTGGGGCCAGAGGACTCGAGTTTTGATTTATGGTCTTGTCCGTATGAGGCGAAGTTCCCGTGGCCTGAACACAGCATATGTGAATGTTGGCCGACAAGGATCGAGGTTTACCTTGCCTTTGCCCTCATTCTCTTTCACCATAGTCATGTACAATATAATGATTCAGTGCTGCTGTAGACAGTGCACAGGAAACCATTCCCTGTGCTTCTGCTCTCCAGAAAGACTTATTAATTTTTAAACCACTTAAATAAAAATGCATTTGTAATATAACACATAAAATTAGCAGGCGTGCATTACGATAAACATATTGCAATTTGCATAAAGAATCATACATATTTAATTGCAATCACAAGTCCTGTTTCCAATTTTTAAATAAAGCGTAACCTGTGGGCTGCCACCTTCATCACCTTCACCATCTTCAGCACTGGAATTGATTTTATCACGAGGTTATGTTGTAAAAGCAGGTCAGCTGGCTATCTCACAATGAAGAGGAGCCCTTGTGAAAAGTGGCTGAGTTGATTGGTCAGCAAAGAGGTGTGGGATACAGTAATAGATCACTGCCTCTCTGTTCCCCAGCCTTGTAGTACAGGACTGGTCTTACCAACCTGGTTCAGAGGAAGACTATGGGATATGGATGCTGTTTCTTTTAACAGCCCTGGAATATTAATTTACTTTCAGTTATATAGTTATATATATATATATATTTAGCTGACATTTTTGCCAACACACATTTTTGAGAACCCAGAGTCAGACAGTCCTTGAAGAAATTGGGAATTCAGAGTCAAGGACCCATTGGTGAAATCACTCTGCCAACCCTGGGATTTGAACCGCCAACTTTCCAATAACAGGCACATTAGCCTAACCTGCTGAGCCATACACTATTTATGGTTTAAAATCCTTGATAAAAAACAAACACGCACACGCACGTACGCACACAAATAATAACTAGTACCCAACATGACAAAACCACATCATGCCTTTTCCTCCTGGTTCTTCCTTCTTGACAATGTCACACTTCATTTGTCAAGATCAAAACATAATCAGGCAAATGGCTGTTCAGAGCATATTACGGGATATTAAACATTGATAGTTTCATGTTATTGAGAAGCTTCTACTTTATGAAGAAGAAAACTGGTACCTGGGAGAACTGCTCACCATGGATGAAGTATGTCACATGACTAACTGACGGCATGTTTTGATGACGATGGTGTTGCACTGGAATTGCATGGTAGGGAGCTGTGTGGCCACTGACCTCAGTAACACCGAACCTCGAAGTCTGTGCTGAGAAGCTACATGTTTGTATGTGTAATGTTCTTTGCTTTTCTTAATCTCCCAACTGAAACGGCAATTATTTTTGTTTAACCCCAAAACCACGTGTTGTACTGACCCTGCCCTGCAGCCATCTGTCCCCGATAACCATAAGCTTAAAATAAAACTATTGTTTACTGTTAAATCCCAGTGTCACATGGTTGTTATTAAAAAATAAATGATATTTACACTGGATAAATTGCAATTAATTGAATTTATTATATGATACAGTCCCTGAACACACACACTTTTAAACATTTTATTTTCCATTTTCTTTGTGCAATTTGTGTCTTTTTGCTGAATGGCCATCCAGATGTAAACTCACTGCTCACGTTAATTCAGGCTGCATTAAGACATCACCGGCCAGACATCACTAAAAGCTTTGGCTTCTAAGAGTAACATGTTAAAATGTTCATTGAAATATGCGTAAAATAGGGGTAAAACTGGTTAACAGCAGATGTAATTATAATAAAAACCCAGAAAACTGTCAGCTGTGACATAATGCATGAAAATTAATACAAATGAAATACAAATATAATTATCTAAAGATAACAGCATAATTTTTTTAACCTCCTGTAAAAATGGTTCACAATTTGTTTTTTTTATGCTTTTTAGAAATTCCAGTTTTTCCCATTTTCACATTCATGAATTCTTGATTATTTTCTGAAGAAAATAACGGATCTTCGTGTGACACCCACTATAACAGTACTTTAGCTATAAATAATACTTTCTTTTGTGCGTGCAAATGCATTTATTATGGAAATTAATGGACTTCATGCCAGGGCATAAAATGCACCATTCCTGTGAAATCCAAGAAGAAATAAAATGGATAAATGTAAAGCAGAAAATCGATGAACATAAATACAATAAAAATCTAAAATGTTAAATAACGTCTTATTTCCGAGTACCAATGGGTCTGTATTTAACTTGGGAATGTATTTTGCTAGTGTGGCCAAGGTTTATGGTGATCTTCTGGTACACACCCTGGTCTGTTGTGCAGAGACAGAAGGATGTAAATGATTCACCCCCCCCCCCTTAGAAAACAGGCCTGACAGAAGCTGGACTACTGTGCTGTGTGGGCGAGTCGGTTTGATGATTTTCCCGGGACTTTAAGTAATTTGTAACATCTGCGTCTTTGGGGTGAGCTTTCTTGCTTGAGTGTGGGAGATGCCAGCGGAGTTACACCCCCCCCCCCCTTCAGGAAGGTGTGGGGGGTCACGCTTCCAGCCACAAGCCTGGGTTGTGACTGAGAGGTGTTTTGGAGAGGAAGCGTACAAGCCAGTAAGGTTTCCTAGCATCAGTGAATCCGGTGACACTTTACTTAAGGTAATGTTTTTAATAATTTATAGGCACATTCGTAACAAATAATAATGCATTCATAAAGCATTACAAACATGGCTACAAATATTTATCAAAAGGCATAACACATTATAGCCATGTTTATTATGCATTATGAATGCTTTATGAAGCTCTCATCTGTGCACTATAGAAACCTTTACAATGCATTATAAGGGTTGGTATAAGCATTAAGGATTCTTTGCAGTGATGTAGTCAAAACCACCTAAACTGAGTCCAAGTAATTAAAAAGACCAGAGTGTATTGAGACTGAGATAAGACCAAGACTAATGCAAGGAGAGACCGAGACATGACCAAGACCAAGGCAGGGCTAGACAAAGTCAAGATCAGAAGCAGACTAATGTTTGAGTGTACATAATACAACACACTATAAAATGTGGAGCATAGGCACCATATTGGGGCTAGGCATTATGGTCTAAAATTTGTGTCACAGTATAATTTGAGCCATGGATGTTTTTTTCTTAAATTTTCAAGATAAATGCTTCTGTACAAATGTAACATTTTTTCAAATAAGACACACCTTATTGGTTGCATTTGAACTTTGAAGCTGGACATTTTTCACCCAGCCACAGTAGGGGAGACTGGGGATGATTGCAACATGGGTTAGTTGTAACAAAGTCTATATCTCAAATCAGGAATGAGACACAAATCACATAACTCACTCTGCACATGCTCAGTTTATATATAGTTTATATACAGCATAAATCATAATACTGTATCTGCAATAATACTATTTATTCAAATATACAATCAGACCAACACGGTTACTACTGTCGACTGCACTGTATGTTGTCTTATCCTGTAAATTACACTTGTGTAGTTCTGTGTTGTTTCTGTCCTTTTGTTTTTTGTGCACATTGACACTGAAGGATCAATGTTTTGTTTCACAGTATACTGTGTATATGGCTGAAATGGCACATAAACTTACTTGACTTGATTTTTGTGATAGCACTGCAAGCTTTGTATTTACATTATTCAAACTTAAATATTTATTTTGTGCCTGTGTAAATATCTTTTATACAAGCTGTTATTATTGTTACTTAGCTGTTCATGGCTACCACAGTCTAGGATAGTTGTAATGGTATTTCTCCAATTGCCCACCAGGCCACTTCTCAAGCTCAGGAAACTTCTGCATTCTGTGTATGGAACATTTTAAAGTCAAAGGGTGAAATGCACAGACCAAGTGTGGGGAACCTGATTCATGGAGAGCTGGTGTGAGTGTGGGTTATTGGGATGACTTCTCAATCCCTGGACTGGAGTCGGGAATCGCTGCTTTATTATTGGTTGATTGACAATGTCAAAATAACAGGTTTTTATTACATCGTGGGGAACATTTAGTTCATTGTTGGTAACATTTATAATGTTACATTGAACCCGGGACTGTGCTCCAACTATCCCTGATTATGGGGTACATTGTAACATTTTACTCCATGTGTTTGAGGCTAAACCATCCATTGTCTGTCTGTGATACAGGGATAAAGTAATGGAAGACACATGTAGGTAGTTTGTATCAGATTTTGAATGCGATCCCATAAAAGAGGTACAGGGAAAAATGTAAAAAACGTTACACTTATCTCCGGTCTCCTCTACTGTGTTATCCTTTTGATCCCTGTGCATTTTTGAGTGTTTTTCTATCCCTTTGATTTTAGGCTTATTACATTGTACGTACATGATGGCATGTGCTGTATGTTTTTGTTTTTGGGATATTCTAGGCTACTCAGATCATAATTTGATGTGAAAATGCTGACACAGCCTTGATATCATTCTTCTTATGAGGAAAAATTTGCAGGCACTACAAATCTAATCTTGTAAATGCTCTAGAGTCTCTATGATGTGTAAATGCAGGGCTGTCATTGGGGACCTTTCTATGACTTAGTATTGTGAAGGAGTAAATGCTTAGTGCCAGGCAGAAAGGAATATCTTTGATTTTACATCCATTTTGTTGAAGTTATCTGATAGACAGCAATGCATGGTTTTGTATTTTTCTATAATTGTTACTTATTACTTTACAACATCTGAAACAAATTGAAATAGAAAATCACGTGCAAAATGCAAAATAGAAAGAATCCAAAGTGACTAGTAATAGGTAATAGACTCATTGGGTTGGGAAAGCAAAGAAACAAACTGGGGAATAATAGGAATTTTATTCTTTATCGAACTCCACACCCCAATCGTATCACTGCGCAGAAGACATGAGTATGAGCACCCCGGCGATATGTTCTGCAGTGATACGATTGGTGTGTGGACTTCGGTAGAAGAAAATAGTCCATACATTAAGTTGCTCACCACAAAAACTGTGGATTATCTTGAGTAACAATTTCTGGCCATCTGAGTCATTCTCAATTTTTCTGGCTCTTTAATCACCGCAG